TTGTAGTGGGGAGAAATTAATCAATTTCTTGACTGTTTTTTTTTTACACGACGATAACACAAATGACAGCTCCGCAAACGTATACCGTTAGCGCAGGCGGGATTACCATACCATTTTCACCCATAAAAAAAAAAAAAACAAATGACAGAGTTATGGGGTAGTTAACCAACATAAAAAAATGCAATCGAATTGGGAACCTCCTTTATTAAAGTCGGTTGAAAATTAGAAATGGACAGTTTATAACATAACATAATCTTTTATGATAGAGGATTAAAAAAAACAAATTAATAAATATGAACCTTAAAGACACTGGAATTCTGTTACACTTAGTGTTGGCTTTATCAAAAATCTAAACAATTTTGAACTCTATACGCAATGGAACAAGATTCACAAATATCAGCAAGAACGAAGAAGACAGAGAAGTCCGAAAGGCGGAGATCCAGTATATTCTCTCTGTTAAAATTCCAAAAGAAGTTAACCAGACAATTCTCGGAGCCGTCGCATCTGGGGCCGTTGAAACTGAACAGGAAGTATTCCGTGGACTCCGCAATTTTGTCGGATTATAAGGGAACGAATGGAGCGTGGAAGAACAGCGTCGTCGCAAACGATGCCTTATCTAATAGCGAACAAGGTTGGTTTTACAATAAATTTATGAATTAGATTTTTCTTTCTTTAAATACTAGCGTTCTCTCCGGCTTCGTACGGATAGATAGATAGGAAGATTTAATTAACATTTGATATTAACTTTAATTGGCAAATTTTTAATACTTTGGGTTACATTATTGTATTTTTTGTACGGATCTCTATTTTTTTTTTAATATATTATATAGCCCATGTTAGACGCTAATAATATAGCTGTCTATAGGTGAATGAAATTTTAAAATCGGTCGAGTAATTTTTTAAGTTTATCCATTACATACAAAAATTAAAAATTATGTTTCAAACAAAAAGAACCGACTTAATTGTGGTAAAACCAATTTTTTTTTATCTAAAAATTAAACTATTGTATCGATTTTGATAAAATTTCCACGGGACCAATCTGTAAGTATACCCTTTCAGATAAAAAAAGAATTACCCAAATTGGTTCACAACTGACGGAGTTATGAGGTGACAAACATAAAAAAAATACAACCGAATACTTTTTGAAGTTGGTTAAAAAGTCCAATCCTTCCTCTTTGTAATATTAGTATAGAAATATATATATTTAATTAATAATTCACAAAAAGTGTCTGTCAATTTAAGTATACCTTTGATTAACTCTCCGGTGATGTAAAACACCGATAACAAAACATATTAATCTGAGTGACGGCGCGGCGGCGGTAGGCTTGCCGCCTTGCATGTTTTATACCAACATGCTCGACGAAATGTGGGCCACTCGAGTGTTACGTTTACCACAATGGTGGCGGTCGACAAATGTCTCTACCCTATTTTTTTTAATGGAATAGTAACCCCACCCGCGCTATCGGTATACACCGGCGGGGCACCAGTGATGGATAATAGATGAGGATGGAGCAGGTCAGTTAGCCCACCGTGACGAATTCAACAAGAATTGTTCACGATGGTTTCCAGAGGGAACCACGTGGAGGTTGACCTGATGGGGTGTATTGCTAGCAATGGGTTCATTAGACCCCATTAGTAATATAAAATACGTATAATAGATATTTCACATATATAAAAATTCGAACTAGCGACTGGTGGCCAGTATATAACAACTAACAATCCCCCCCCCCCCCCCCCCCCACCGACAACCGTATTAGGAATTGTTCTTGAATAATATATATATATATATATATATATATATATATATATATATATATATATATATATATATATATATATATATATATATATATATATATATATATATAATAGTACGGCTTACTTTACATTGGATATAGAATCTATTGATTAATCTTATAAATAATTATTTATTTACATTCATCTATTTTATTTTAGGGTTCCCTACCAAAATGGTTTTTTTTTATACAACTTAGAATGACAAACAAGCTGACGGCCCACCTGATGAAAAGTGGTAACCGTCGCCTATACACATGAGCAGTACCATGGACATAACAGAGTATACTGTTTCGCCCATGATACCCCCCATGCGTTGCCATTCCTGAGGACTCAGTTGTTATTCCTCTGTACCCAGTAAATTCACGCCATATCCCACCCTTCAAATCGAAACACAGTCATGCAAACACAACTGCTTCACGGTTGAAACACGAATGGTACAGAGGTACCCAAGCAATCGACTTTTGTACAAAGTCTCCCTCTGGTGTGACTTTCACCGTCTGTCCGTCCGTCCGCTGATTACAGTACTGAGATGTACTCAGCGGCTAATAATGCTGTGTGATTTGAAGTTATACATGTAAATTCCCATAACTCCGTCAGTTGTAAACCGATTTGGGAAATTATTTATCTGAAAGGTTATACGTACAGATTGGTTTAATGGAAATTTTATCAAAACCTATTTAGTAGTTTTATTTTTAAATTACAATAACTTTTCTTTTTGTCACAATGGAAGTTGATTAGGGGGAAAGGGATTGCTAGTAATGAGATCTAAGAGCCCCATTACTAACAATATACCCTGTCAGGTCGACCTGTGAGGGATGATAGGTGAGGATGAAAAGGCAGGTCAGTTAGCCCATCGTGACGAAATCCACAAGAATTAACCATGATGGTTTCAAGCGTTAACCGCGTGGTCTACCTGATAGGGTATATTGCTAGCAATGGAATTGTTAGATCTTCATTCCTAACTATCCCTGCCTCCTTCCTCTGTAGAGTTGAATTGCTAATTTTTTTTTGTCTGTCTATTGTTGACTAGTTATAGTACATTATTGCAGCGGCCAGCAACTGAGGCATTGATGGACGAACGTACAAAAATTGGGCCAAGGCGTAGCCGAGGCACACACACGTGAGTCCATCAATGCCTAGTTGTGGCCAAGGCTTGTATAGTACTTTTCTCAAACAATGCGCGGAAATCAAAAACACAATTTTACTTTTCAAGTTCAATGACGAATAACGAACAATAATAATTTTTCACGCGCCATAATGTTCCTTTGTTTTTTTTTTCAATAAACAGCTTTCTATTTGCAAACCAGTTCGAAATTTAAATAAAACCTTTTATTAGTTACTTCCTTGGTAGCCATGTTTCGAAGGAAAAGGTCATCTATTTTTAAATTACAGGACAGATATGAGTTTACATAGTAATTTATCTGGCCGCAAACCACGACAGATATGGATTTTCATACAACTTTTGCAGGCCGTTGCCCGCATGTATCTGGCCAGTACGGCAATTTTGATTTATCTCTAAGAAGATTGTCAAAATAATGCTCACCTTTCCAAGCATGTTTGAGAAAAAGAAATTTGCCTGTTTGGGCATATGGCTGTAATATGTGCGTTTAATATGGCTATATTATAATAAACTGCTAGATTTTAGTGCTATTTTTTTATATGTAAAAGAGTGTAAAGTTCACAAATTTTATTGTGAATGCAGCAACTTTGAAAAAACCTTTCAAAGAGAGTGGGGGTTTTTACAAATACAGTGGTACCTCGATATACGAGTGTTGGGGGGAAGGGATTGTTAGTAATGGGGTCTAATGAACCCATTGCTAGCAATATACTATCAGGTCGACCTTCACGTGGTTCCCCCTGGAAACCATAGTGAACAATTCTTGTTGAATTCGTCACAATGGGCTAACTGACCTGCTTCATCCTCACCTATCATCCTTCACTGGTGTCCCGCCAATGTATGTTAATTGTTCACGATGGTTTCCAGGGGGAACCACGTGGAGGTCGACCTGATAGGGGCATATTGCTAACAATGTCGAACTCCATTGCTAACAATCCCTTTCCCCCGACTTCAGACATTAACACTTAACAAAGACAACTGAGGTGGTTTTATGGGAGTACCGATTAATGGCATTTTAATTAATTTCAATGGGGAAAATTGCTTTTAGACACGAGCAGTTTGACATACGAGAAAGGTTACGGCACGAAATGAAACTCGTATGTTTCGTAAACACACATTGTATTTTTATGTAATAACTGCCGGTTTTTACTTACGTGTAATCACGTGTCAGGATCGCGCTCGCATCACAGCCGCTCATGATTAAGGATCACGACTTGATCCCAAAACTAGTCGAGCTTTCTCGATCTAATTAGACGTAAGTTAAATTGGTAGTTATTATATTAAAATACAAATGTCTTTATTGTGGACTAGCTATTTGCACCCTACTTCGACCGCGTGGATTTCAGAAGTAGCAGAACTAATTAAAAAGAACATTTTTTTTTTTATAGATGAAAATGGTATAATGGTATAACCCCGCCTGCGCTAACGGGATACGCTGGCGGAGCACCAGTGAAGGGTGATGGATGAGAATGAAAACAGGCCAGTTAGCTTATCATGATGAATTAATTCATCAGGAATTAACCATGATAGTTTCCAGGGGGAACCGCGAGGAGGTCGAACTGGTTGGGTATATTGCTAGCAATGGGATTCTCAGTCTCCATTACTAACAATCCCTTTCCCCCCAAAAGAGCACTATTAGATAGTATACCAAGATAAAACATTCCAGATTTTAAGTTAGATCTCCAGGAATACAACTGTGAAAATCGCATCCAATTTGGTGCAGTAGGTTTCGCGTGATGAACACACCCTGCGTTAAAGGTATACCCTGGCGGGGCACCAGTTAGGGACGGTGGGTGAGGATGAAAGCGGGTCACTTAGCGCATCGTGATGAATACATCTGGAATGGAGCAACATGCTATCCAGAGGGGCTACGTGAAGATCGATCTGTTTATTCGATGACCCATTACTGACAATCTCTTCCTTCCCTGCTTTGGAGGGGACGTAAAGTCGTTATTCGGTAAACCACATCAGGGGCCTTCATATACAATGAAGGCGATCTAGAAACTGTTGACAGTAGATGACGCCACTCTCGTAGTAGTTGTAGTATTTGCTAGTGTTTTCGCTAACCGCACTCATCTCCCTATAGAGTTAGCTGGTGCAGCGTCAGACTCCGACAGCGAAGGTTCCAGAGTGGGGATGCAAGAGCAGAAGGAAGACATGGTGAGCAGGAAGCAGGAGATCCTCTCCAGGATCGAGAGGGTCTATGTGGAGGATCCTGACCGGGAGATCGGTGCGGTGAGTGTAATATACTACTGTTTTGTTACTTCACTCTATCCCAGTTGTATACATACTATAAAGACTATAGGCGACGATTACCACTTCCCATCAGTTAAGCCGTTATCTTGTTTACTATTACAGGGCATAACACCTCAATGTTAAAAAAGAGAAGTAACTCATGAGAAGTACCTTGGTTGCTACTCTGTTCTGTGATGTCTATGGTATACTGTTCATGTCTATAGGCGACAGTTGCCATTTCCCATCACGTGGACCATCAGCTTGCTTCCTATTTTTTTATGCAACTTAGAATGGCAAACAAGCTGACGGCCCACCTGATTGAAAGTGGTAACCGTCGCCTATAGACATGAGCAGTACCATGCACATAACAGAGTATACTGTTTCGCCCATAATACCCCCCATGCGTTGCCATTCCTGAGGACTCAAGTGTTATTCATCAGTACCCTGTAAATTCATTGCCATATCCCACCCTTCAAACCGAAATAAGCCATTCAAAAACAAGGCGTGAAAGAGCGACCTGATCAGCGTGTATTGCTAGCAATTGGGGAACGTCCTTATTACTAACAATCCCTTTCCCCTTCCATAGACGACGATTGTCACTTTTTGTTTTTTTTTTAATGTGTGATAATGGAATGGTCACTCCACCTACGCTATCGGTATACGCTGGCAGGGCACCAGTGAGGGATGATGAATGACGATGAAAGCAGGTCAGTTAGCTCATCGTGACGAATTCCACTAGAATTAGCCACGATGGTTTCCAGGGAGAGCCCCGTGGAGGTCGATCTGATAGGGTCTACTGCTGGCAATGTGTCAGTTAAACCCCATTACTAATAATCCTTTTCTCCTCGACGGTTATCACTTACCATCACATTGCTTGACAGCTTCTTTTCTACTCTAATTGCCAAGATGTATAAAGAGCACCATCCACCTTCCACAGGCAGGAGAATTGGTCGAGGAGGTGGCAGAAGAGAACAAGTCTCTGCTGTGGTTCCTGCTGAAGCAGGTCCGCCCCGGCATGGACCTCAGCAAGGTGGTGCTGCCGACTTTCATACTGGAGCCCAGGTCGTTCCTGGACAAGCTGTCTGATAACTATTACCATGCGGATTTGTTGGGACAGTAAGTATCTGTAATGTAATAATGAAGGTTTTTTTTTTAATGGATGATAATGGAATAGTAACCCCGTCTGCGGTAACGGTATACGCTGGCGGGGCACCAGTGAGAGATGTTATGTGAGGATGAAGTAGGTCAGTGAGCCTATCGTGATAAATTTTACAAGATTCACGATGATTTCCAGGGAAACCACGTGGAGTTGCTAGCATCATGTAGTTTAGGCCGCTTTGTTTTACGTTGAAGTTCCTTAGAAACCTAAACCTTTCCCAGGGCACAAAGCATGGAAGACCCGTACCAAAGGTTCAAGTGTGTGCTGAGGTGGTACCTGTCAGGGTTGTACAGGAAGCCCAAGGGTCTGAAGAAGCCGTACAACCCGGTGCTGGGCGAGACCTTCAGGTGTTGCTGGAAGCATCGCAACACGGACACCTACACGTATTATATTGCTGAACAGGTAGATTCTTTGATTTTTTTTTATGCAACTTAGAATGGCAAACAAGCTGACGGCCCACCTGATGGAAAGTGGTAACCGTCGCCCATAGACATGAGTAGTGCCATGGACATAACAGAGTATACTGTTTCGCCCATGGTACCCCCCATGCGTTGCCATTCCTGAGGACTCAGGTGTTATTCCTCTATACCTTACTCTATTACCCTTCAAACTGAAACACAGACATGCAAACACAACTGCTTCACGGTAGATACACGAATGGGTCAGAGGTGTCCAAACAAACTATTTTTTACAAAGTCTTCCTCTGGTCCCTAATTTATTTGTATCAGGCATTAACTCTTCACTGCTGAACATAGCCTCCCCCATAAAGGGGGTTTTGCCAGTAGTTGCCACGCTTGACAAGCGGGTTAGGTCTTTGGTGATGTTTTAAAAGAGACTGCTGCCCATCCCTCGACCATAAGTTTGCTTAGTCACCTCTTACGACACCCACGGAACAGGAAAGGGTGGCCCTTTCTACGCCGGGACCACACGGCATCTGAAAGGATTATACCTTCTGATTGGCCTCATGGAAAATTTATCAAAACCGGTTCCAGTAGTGTATTTTTTATATAATTTTTTTCTTTTTAATTTTACTACAATCGAAGATGGTGGTGTTTTTTTTTTTGGTGGAATAACTTATCTTAAATTGTTTTATTTTTCTAGGTGTCCCACCATCCGCCCGTGTCGGCGTTCTACGTGTCCAACAGAAAGGAAGGATACGTCATAGAGGGCAGTCTACTCGCCAGATCGAAGTTTTATGGTGAGTTCCCAGTAGAAAAAAAATTGTTCGAAATATAAATACAGTGTGAGCCTGGTCGATGAGCTCCCTATAATATGGTTGAACATAACGATGGATGGTTCATTCGTCATACTCGTGAACGGTTTTTTTGATGAGTGAGAATGGAATGGTAATCCTGCTTGTGCTATCGATATAAGCTAGTGGAATACCAGGAAGAGATGATAGGTGATGATGAAAATGGGTCAGTGGGCTCATTGTGATGAATACACCTGGAATTCATCACGATTGTTTCCAGTGGAGACCACAGGGAGGTCGACCTGGTCGAGTATATTGCTAGCAATATGGCTTTTAGGGCTCCATTACTAATAATTCCTTCCCCCCCCCCCCCTCTAGAAACGATGGGATGGTCACACAATTTCATTGAGTTCCACTGAAACATGAAGATTAAACCATACGGTTTATTTGTCATCAGGTAACTCGACGTCGGCCATCTTGGAGGGGTGCGCGAGGGTCCACCTGCTGGGCTGGGGGGAGACGTACGTGACCACCGCGCCCTACGCTCACTGCAAGGGCATCGTTATTGGCACACTCAGCATGGAGCTCGGCGGGAAGGTAGGTGGCGACTTGTCTGATATAGTTATTAGGTATAGGTATTATGGATACCGATCCGATATCTATATATTGGGCTCCACTGTACATTTATTTATTTATTCATTAGTACAAATATGTGTACATGGCGGACTTAATGCTAAAAGCATTCTCTCCCAGTCAACCATAGGGAAGTGTCAGAATACTCGAATGCGGTACTACTAATTATTGATATACATACATACTAAAATTACATATATAAACGAATAAATATATATGAATAACAGATATACTTACACATATATGATATATACTATATTATACACGAATTTGGGAATAATATAAAGCATTTACTGCTCGGATAAAGTAAAAAAGTGAGCGTGAACGCTTTTTTTGAAAGACGGTTTAGTCGGTAGTCTCTTAATGGCATCAGGAAGCGCGTTCTAGAGTCGTGAAGAATGTAGGAGAAAAGAGTTTAAAGCGAAACCAGTACGGGGTTGAGAGGGGAAAGATAGTTGGAGAGTATTACTGGAACGAAGGTTACGATCGTGAGTTTCAAAAAGATACTGGAATTTACTCCTTTGACATTGATGGCGGTCGGATATCTAGTTTCGAATATGTCAAAAGTCTGTTATCCAATATCCTGTTATTATATATAATATAATATTATATATATATATATATATATATATATATATATATATATATATATATATATATATATATATATATATATATATATATATCCGTCAGCTTGTTTGCCATTCTAAGTTGTATAAAAAAAAATAAGTTTGTGTTCTTTTTCTATGCAGGTTCACATAATATGTTCGGACACGGGCTACCAGGCAGACATAGAATTTAAGCTAAGGGTGAGTGCTGTGATTTTTTTTAATTTTACCCACAACTAAAAAAAAATAATTAAAAAATATTTTTAAACAACCCTTTAAATACTCTGCACAATTTGCCAATGCTGGACTCTAATCCAGATCTCGTATGTGACAATGGTCGTTGACGACACAAGCATACGGCTGGCCTGATATCCGATACAGCTGGTTTTTTTTTTCAGTCATTCCTCGGCAGCGCAGAACAAACGAACGCAATATCCGGCCGAATCAAGAAAGGGAAGGACACTGTAGCGACGATAGAAGGATACTGGGACGGGAAAATGGATATAAAAGACAAGAAAACTGGGGTGAGCAATATAGCTTATTAATTAAATTCCAGTACACAGGTAAAAGGAACCAAAGGAACCGACATAACCCGAAGGATAAGCCGATGGTACATATGCTGGTTCCATATGTAGCTCGATAATGTTGGCCGTGTGGTCCCGGCATAGAATAAGCCACCCCATCCTATCCTGTGGGTGTCATAAGAGACTTCCGACTAAGGGAAGGCAAGGGATGGGCAGTAACGTCCCTCTTAAAACACTACCAAAGAATAACTGGCGCCTGCCAAACGTGGCAACTATTAGCAAGTCTTTCCTTATGGGGGTGGCCTATGTTCAGCAGTGGTATGGCATGATATGGTATAAGTGCAATTATTATTCTAGGAGGAGAGCAACCTTTTGGACGTGGCTTTCCTGAAGGAGCAGCGTCTACCTCGGTACCTGATGAACCTGGACAGCCAGCATGAGTACGAGTCGCAGCGGCTCTGGCTAAAGGTGTCGGAAGCCATCGGCAATGATGACCAGGTCTGGGAGATAATTATGTGTCTTGAAACAGTGGCGGCACCTGGTGGGGAGCCGTAACCGTTGCCTAAAAGTCATGGACAGCGCGACAGATATCACAGAATACACTGGCGCCTGGTTTAGGGAGATTTAGAGACAATTTGGAGCGGTAAAGTTTCTGACGGTCCACCTGGTGGAAAGTGTTAGTCATTGTCAATAAACACGTAGCTGAATACACTGTGACGCCCACGGTACCCGTAACGCGATGCCTGTCCTGTGGACTATGGTGTTATAACCGCTTGCAAAACATGGCAACTGCTGGTCAAAGCCTCCGTTAGTGGGAAGTCCTATGTTCAGCAGTGGACAGTTTAAGGCTGATGTGATGATGATGATGATGACGATGGTGTTTTAAATTGGCAGGGGTAACATCAAATCATCAGTATTAAACAAAACTACAACATACATTTAAAACTGCGTACTGTTGTGTTTGGTGTACCCCAAGGAAGCGTATTGGGACCTTTCCTTTTCCTTATATACAGGGTGTCCGGTAATGAATGGATAACCTTGAAACGTCTTATAGTTCAACTTAAGGGCCGTCCTAAAAAACATTACGAAACAAAATATATTATAAGTAGAACCTTTGTTATCTTGATTTTAAAGAAAAGTAAATTTTTTTCTGTCTTATTTTACTGTCCTGATCATCTAGGCTTGTCCTAATATATAAAAAATATTTCAATATATCAGGTGGCAGCGACTGAAGAGAAGACAATAATAGAGGAGGAGCAGAGGGCTCGCGCCAGGAACCTGGTGGCGCCCTGGGTGCCCAGGTTCTTCCACAAGGACCTCCGGAGGCAGTCCCTTGACGGTGGGTCAAGTGTGAATTAACTAATTGTGTAACATATAAGCAATATCTATATATTATAGATTGTAATTATAATATATAGTATATTACTGCAGCAGCTAGGACCTGAGGCATTGATGGACGAACGTGCAAATGTGGGCCGAGGCGTAGCCGAGGCACACATACGTGAGTCCATCAATGCCTAGTTGTGGCCAAGGCTTGTATAGTACTTTTCTCAAACAATGCGCGGAAATCAAAAACACAATTTTACTTTTCAAGTTCAATGACGAATAACGAACAATAATAATTTTTCACGCGCCATAATGTTCCCTTGTTTTTTTTTTTTCTATAAACAGCTTTCTATTTGCAAGCCAGTTCGAAATTTAAATAAAACCTTTTATTAGTTACCTCCTTGGTAGCCATGTTTCGAAGTAAAAGGTCATTCCATTTTTAAATTACAGGACAGATATGAGTTTACATAGTAATTTATCTGGCCGCAAAACTATTGTAGATATGGATTTTCATACAACTTTTGCCGGCCGCTGCCCGCATGTATCTGGCCAGTACGGCAATTTTGATTTATCTCGAAGAAGATTGTCAAAATAACGCTCACATTTATAAGCATGTTTGAGAAATAGATATTTACCCACCCTTAACCTTAACTTATATGTTATGTTTCAGGTGTTATTGATCAAGGCTGGCAGTATAACCATATAAACATAAAGTGAGTATTATTTTATATATATTTTTTTATGCAACTTAGAATAGCAAACAAGCTGACGGCCCACCTGATGGAAAGTGGTAACCGTCGCCTGTAGACATGAGCAGTGCCATGGACATAACAGAGTATACTGTTTCGCCCATGATACCCCCCATGCGTTGCCATTCCTGAGGACTCAAGTGTTATTCCTCTGTACCTAGTAAATTCACGCCATATCCCACCGTTCAAACCGAAACACAGCCATGCAAACACAATTGCTTCACGGTTGAAACACGAATGGGACAGAGGTGGCCAAGCAATCGATTTTTGTACAAAGTCTCCCTCTTACAACATAAAGTTCGGTTCTTGCAAAATTTTATCATTTATTTAAATCAAAAAATTTTGTTCCTTTCTTTTAATTTATTTTAAAATGAAATAAACTCACTTTAGTACTATTTTCTTGCGTTCTCTCTTCGTTTTCCTTCGTCATTTTTTTTTTCTGTTGTATGTATGTATGTTATGTATATATTTAATTGTGTATATATTATATATGTATATGTATGTATGTATGTATGTTTGTATATAATAATATTTATATAATAGTGCGCCATCTACCCTTTGTCTTTTTCTCAATGTCCTCTACCCAAAGGTTGTCTGGAAGAGATTGCTCAGCGATAAGGTCGGCTTTTGTATCACTTCTCATTAATATTTACTGTATTTGTTATTTCTCTTTTTACTTGGTGCAATAAAGTGTAATAAACGCGTATGCGTGTGTGTGCGTGTATGTGCGTGTGCGCGTGCGTGTGCGTGAGCGTGTGCGTGTGCGTGTGCGTGTGCGTGTGCGTTTGCGTGTGTGCGTGTGTGCGTGCGTGTGCGTGTGTGTACGTGTGCGTGTGCATGTGCGTGCGTGCGTACGTGCCTACGTATTTATTTAGCCTACCCACAGATATAGAGAAAAAAAATGAATTATTTTGCAAATTAATGTTATAGTCCCTGGCAACTGGAAGAGATGCTGGAGTACGAGGACGACTTCGTGATCCGTAGCGCGGTGGGCGCGGCGGCGGGCCGCGAGCCGCCGCCGCGCCGCCTCTCCGACTCGGACAGCCACGACGACGGCGCGCGCAGGTCCAAGGCTTCCACGTGAGTGTTCATCATTGCTTTTTTATTATTGATATAATATTACAACGGTAATTTCGCCTGCGCTACACCAAAGGAGGTTTTTGTAATGCATGATAGTGGGATGGTAACCATCTGCGTTAACGGTGTACTCTGGCGAGGCACCAGTGAGGGATGATAGGTGAGGATGATGAGGCAAGTCTTTTTTTTTAATGGGTGATAATGGAATGGTAACTCCATCTGCGCTATCGGTATACACCGGCGGCGCACCAGTGAAGGATTATAAGTGAGGATGAAGCAGCTCAGTTAGCCCATCGTGACGAATTCAACAAGAATTGTTCACGATGGTCTCCAGGGGGAACCACGTGGAGATCGGCCTAATAGGGCATATTGCTAGCAAAGGGATTGGTATTATATACTTATACCAGTAAGATTTTTTTTATTGGATGAAAATGGTATGGTAGCCTGCCTGCGCTAACGGGATACGCTGGCGGGGCACCAGTGAAGGGTGATAGATGAGAATGAAAACAGGCCAGTTAGCCCATCATGATGAATTCATCAGGAATTGATCATGACAGTTTCCAGGAGGAACCGCGAGGAGGTTGACCTGGTTGGGTATATTGCTAGCAATGGGATTCTCAGTCTCCATTACTAACAATCCCTTTCTTCCCTTACCGGTAAGATTAATTCACCAAGAATCAACCATGACGATTTTTAGAGGAGACAGTATAGAAGTCGACATGATAGGGGTATATTGCTAGCAATGGGATAATTAGACAATATTACTAACAATCTCTTTCTTCTAATATCAGCGGGCAGTACAGTATATAATACTGTGTCAATTCACAAATAAGTAATCCTAATTTTAGGTTTTTTTTTTTCGCAGACGCACAATAAAACAGACTCTACACTCCATAGACACGGCGCTGCGTGATCACACCACGGCTATAGAGCGGTTGTCCAAAACTGTAGAGAGCATGGGCGAGGGTCAACGCGCCGCCGCGTACCGGCCGCAGAACGTGGGCCGCGTGCCCGCAGCGACCCACAGTTGGGAAATGCTCGGCGGGTTCGTGCTTGCCATTGTGTTACAAGCTTTACTGAACTGGGTGTTCCACCAAAAAGACTGAGTACTTCGCGACGTGGCGTTCTCGACGTGAACCCGAGCGACATGTTCGCGTTCCGATCTATTAGTGTCCAGTTCGAGCCAGTTCGAGCCGGTTCGGGCCGGTTCAAGCCGGTTGTGTCTTAAATCGATTTAGAGAACATCTAAATCGAACGAAACGCGTCCCGCTGCGTTTCAATTCGAAATTTAAATTTTGGAATTGTATATAGTGAATTTGAATTGTGTTTTCAACCGACTTCAAAGAGAAGGAGGTTCTCGATTCGGTTCTCAATTTTTTTTTAATGTTTGTTACCTCGGTAACTCCGTCAGTTGTAAGCCGATTTGGAGTTTTTTTTTATCTGGAAGTATATGCTTACAGATTCCTTTTTGTTCCTTTTAATAGTTTTATCAAAATCGGTTCAGTACTTTGATTTTTAAATGAAATGAATATGTTTTTGCCACAATTGTAGACGATTTTGTTTTTTTTTTGTAGAACAAAATCTTGTTATTTAAATTATCGCTTGTCTCCGTTCGATAGGGCGTATCTGATTTGAAACGTTCCTTAGTAATATGTTTTTAATTAAGAATATATAGTCGAAATATTTTTACATTCCTACATCGTATACAGGGTGTATACGAAAACGTTAGCGTCCCTTTAAACAGAGTGTTCTATCAATAAAATTTGACATTTACTTGAAATATATATCATACCGTATCAGCCATTAACTGTTCATTGCTGAATATGGGCTTCCTCCTATAAAGAGGAGTTATCCCAGTAGTTGCCACAATCAGCAAGCGGGTTGGCAACCGCAGTTAGGGTTTGGTGATGCTTGAAGAGGGACACTGCTTTCATCTCTCGACCATTGAGTTCGCTTAGTCGCCTCTTACGACACTTACGAGAAACGAAGAGGTGGCCTATTCTACACACAAATATCGGTTATATATAATATCAAAATGAAGAATGGGGTCGAAATCGACATTAATATCCAGAGCATCCCAATATATAGATATCGGGACGGTACCGATATCACCCATACACAGTTTCTTTCGGAAATATGTTCAGTTAAATTGATAGAACACCAAAAGGATGCTACAGGTGTTGATATCGTCCTGTATTATTCTTATTATTAAAAAAAAATAGCTTCTCACTCCACGCAAATCTCAAAATTATGAAATTTTATAATTGTAGTTAATGTGCAACTTTTGATAAACACACCGAGAAAAGTATTGTAGTTATATATATATATATATATATATATATATATATATATATATATATATATATATATATATATATATATATATATATATATATATATATATATATATATATATATATATATATATATATATATACTTAGCATAATAAGTAAGCAATCTTATAATGTCTCTTTGCCAAATATAATTTAAAAAGTATATATATACAAGGAATTAATAATTCTATTAATATTATAAATACAAGTTTTAATTTTGTTACACTCTCTTTAAGGGAACCTTGAAACATGTCTGAGAGAACATATTGCACCTTCTTTAAGGGAACCTTGAAACATGTCTGAGAGTACATATTGCACTTTCTTTGAAAGAAACTTGGAATATGTTTAAGAGTGCATTAATATGCTTTAAAGGAACTTTGAAACATGTTTGAAAGTACATATTGCATCTTCTTTAAGGGAATCTTGAAACATGTGTGAAAGTGCATATTGCATTTTCTTTAAAAGAACCTTGGAATATGTTTGAGAGTGCATATTACAATTTTAAGGGAACCTTGAAACATGTCTGAGAGTACATATTATCACTTTCTTTAAAGGAACCTTGGAATATGTCTGTGAGTGCATATTACAGCTTTAAAGGAACTTTGAAACATGTCTGAGAGTACATATTGCACCTTCTTTAAGGGAACCTTGAAACATGTCTAAGAGTATATATTGCACCTTCTTTAAGGGAACCTTGAAACATATCTGAGAGTACATAATGTCATTTTATTTAAGACAAATTTGTAACATGTCTGAGAGAACATATTGCATTTTCTTTAAGAGGAATTTGTAACATGTCTGAGAGTACATATTGCACCTGCTTTAAGGGGACCTTGTAACATGTCTGAGAGTACATAATGTTGTTTTTTAAGGGAAATGGTCTTAAATACCAATGTATAGGAGGCTCAAAAGTTTTCGTTGTTTAGTCACCCGTGTTCCCGTGGGATAAATATTCAATTCCACTGGTACAGTATAGGGTATACTAAAATAATAAAAGGATTCTAATTATAATGTTATATTACCTATATAATCAATAAATAATCCAAAAATCTTTTCAATTTTTTTTTTATTTGTAGTTTAGTTACAAGCAAACAATACATACATTTGTATCCATGTGAATGACTGTTTGTATTGGTTTTGGTGGTATTTACAAAAAAAATGTATTATTTAAGTATTTCTACCAGTTGACTAGTACCCAGTGAACAAACTTAGCTGAGTTTGGAACTAGATGGCGTTGTGTTATATGTACGATGGTATTTATTACTTTATACACTGTAATTTATATAAAGAGACATACTAAGATTGATTCCTTATTGTGTATAGTGCAGAAACAGAATATACTGTTTTACAATCGAGAACGCCACGCAGACATTACTTCTACACATCGACCAATTTAATTAAAAAAAAAAAACAATAAAATTACGAATATATTAAATTAATATTTGACAATTATAATTATGCCAATATTTCCTATGACTTAATCAAGCATTAATCGAATGATTTACACGTTACATTTCACATCACTATCTTTGACAGCTAATGACAGTTCTAGAGATGTCCATATAGCGAAGTTATATAGTCGATAAATTGTTAATATTATATAAATCTGTATTTATATATTAACCTTCATTTTTTAATGCGAATTCCAAACCTATTTTCGTATTTCAACCATTAGAGTGTTTAGCAATTGTTAATCTTTTTTTTTTGTTTTCACAATCATTTTTGTTTAATTGTTTTTCTTCGTTTTTGCTTCTAGTTTTATCTAATTTATTATACTTACGGAATGGATGAATATTATATATAGTATTTTATTTCTACTTGCGAAATATCATCATTTGCCTTCAGAATTAATCTCTTCTTTTTTTTGTAATATAGTTTTTTTTTGTGATTAAATATAACGTAAACTTATATATTAACTAATATAATATATTAACTAATATAATATATTAACTAATATATAATATATATATTAGTTAATTATATATTAACTAATATATTTTAAAAGTGCAGGTTTTACAACTGCTTCAAAATTTGACTTCCTTTATTTTTAAATAAATTATCGATAAATAAAAGTTTTATTAAAATTTATCGATGTTTTGTCGATATGTTAAAGTCTCTAATTAATTGTCGAAATTGGTGTAATTATACTTGTTCTGTATGCATCGAAGCGATCATGTCGATATTATTTCAATACGCTGAAACTTTTGAAGAAAATCTATATATATTAAGCACGGTATACAATTTTTATGAAATGTATAAAAAATGTAATTAGAAATGAATTGATACTGTAACATGTTGCAACATGCAAAATGACATGCAACATGCAACATAACATGCAACATGCGACCTGCCATTACAATGTAATACAATTATGATCTGTTTTAATAGGATTTAATGGAAATGTAAAGAAACGATGATTTGAATCGACAATAAAACAGTCTGCTAATATTCAATAGCAGGACAAATAAAAAATTCATTACTCGAATGTTTCGAGTTTTTTGTTATTTTTTTAAATAATTTTATTTAGAGAGTGCTGATGTGATAGTTTTAACAGAACTTGGTTAATTTTTCATTAAATTCTATTTAAAACTGATTTTATAAGACAATTTTATACCGAATGAATTGATTCTGTGAGTCGTAACATGTAACGTAACGTTGTTAGTCTTGAGATCTTTCATTTGTGTGGGTCACTCGAGTGGTATATATAATTTTATGGATATTTCTGGTCAATTGTTTTAAAAGGTAATTTTGGACCAGAGGCGTTGTTGTTTATTTATTAAAAATTAAAAACAATGGTTGCTAACAATAGGGACCCTGTTTTTTTTTTTTAATGGATGAAAATGTAACAAAACGCCACCAACTTTATACCTCCCAACGTTATTAATAATCAATGCATATTGTAAGTTTATATTATGACGCTTTATAAAATAGTTAAAGCCAAATACATACAAAACATATGCTCGAGGTTTTATATAAATGTCGTAGCGTTTTCTTAAATAAAATTTATACTTAAACGCGAGTGAAAGTGATTTAAATTAAAATATTTTATTTATATAATTATTTAATATAATAAAATGTCATTGGATCTATTACAATTTGAAATATTATCGATATAATGATCTTAATAATTAATTTTAATGGCCAGAGCTTTCCATGTTTTTTTGTAATAGAAATATTGATGGTGTTATGGTGTGGATATTGGATAAAAACATTTTTCTATACTTCGAACTCGTCAATAACTGAGCGCACTAAAGTTGTGATTATAACTCATAATATGGCTCGTTATTTAATTTTTAGGCTTACATGGTACAGAGGAATAACACTTGAGTCCTCAGGAATGTCAACGCATAAGGGGTATCATGGGCGAAACAGTATACTCTGTTATGTCCATGGTACTGCTCATGTGTTTAGGTGACGGTTACCACTTGTCGTCAAATGGGCCGTCAGCTTGTTTGCCATTCTAAATTGGATAAAAAAAATGCATATACTAGATACTATACTTTTGAGAAATTTCATTCATACTATTTTACACTCTTTTACGCCATTAAATGACATTTCTTTCCCGCCATATTATGACATTTACTTTGACGCCATTTTGATGATGTTTCCTTTATGCTATTTTATTTCCTTTACGCCATTTGCTTTAAGCCATTTTTTTTAAGTTTCCGCCATTCCATCATGTATACCAATTACGTAAATTTTCATTTATTGTTGGTACATGGACTTGCAAAGGGAATTAGTGATTTATTGCATGTGACATTCGGCGCGTGCGCACAGTTCTTGATGAGTTTGTATAAAAGTTGATTTCTGAATATTGTCATCATTAATATTTTGTAACGTAACAAATATTTTACAATTGTCCATATACTTTAGCTGTATAGTCTAAATTGAGCTTGTCTATTGTAAATTGTAATGTGATTAGTAAATAAATGATGGATTATTTATAAAAAAATAAAATATACAATTTTGTATAGTCCTGACGTCTTAGTGTCGTAACTCCATTTTGTTCGTGTTTGTTTCGTCCATTTGATTTGTGGCAACTCGTTTAACGAAATTTTACTTTATGGGAACGATAATAAGAATCTGTTTGCTTTATTAATATTATAAATGGACATAGTTACCGACTATTAATGCAATCATTTTCAAAATTATAAATTAGCAAATTATTGCTATATTTAAATCAACTGTCATTTAGGGACATTTTTATTCACAGTTATAACACCTGTGATAAATCACAATATGTGATTTTTATAGGTATTAATAGCGCTTTATTCGCTATTAAAAGTGAAGTACGAATTATGATTTTTATGATAAGAGCATGCGAATAGAAACTATAAAGCAGTGTGATAAAGGATCTATTTGCTTGCTCTATATGGTAAAGTCGGCCGTCAGCTGTGAAATATGAGTTTGTTTCCAATTATATTTTTTTAAGTTTAGGTGGCTGTCACCAGTTTAGGTTGGTGATACTGTCAACATCGTGGTTAGGGAGACGCAGTGGTGTA